CTCAGTGTTTAGCTGTAGGTGTCTGCTTCTGTTTCCATAAGCTACTGGATGAAGACTCTAGGATGGCATATAGAGTAGTTATCAACCTCATTGTCAGAGAAGGGCATTTAAGGTAGCCTCTCCACTATTTCTTAGATTGTTAGTTGGGATCAACCATGTAGATCTCTGGACATTTCCCTAGTGCCAGATTTCTCTTTAAACCTGTAATGGCTCCCTCTATGATGGCATCTCCTCTATTCATCCCCTCACTAGATCTTCCTGTTCCCTCATGTCCTCCTCTAACCCTCCTCTTCTCCCCTTCTCTTTCTCCTAACTCCCTCTTCCCTCCCCCCATGCTCCCCATTATCTTAGGAGACCTTGTCCCTTTCCCCTTCTCTGGGGGACCATGTATGTCTCTCTTTTGGTCCTTCTTGTTTCCTACCTTCTCTGGCGGAGTGGATTGTAGGCTGCTACTTCTAAAGTTGAGAATTGTTCTTTCAAAGTCTATGAAAAATTGTGCTGGGATTTTGATGGAGGTTGCATTGAATCTGTAGATTGCTTTTGGCAAGATTGCATTTTTACTAAGTTGATCCTACCTATCCAAGAGCATGGGAGATCTTTCCATTTTTTGATATCTCCTTTAATTTCTTTCTTTAAAGACTCAAAGTTCTTGGTTACAGGTCTGTCACTTTTTGGTTAACATTACCCCAAGATATTTTATGTTATTTGTGGCTATTGTAAAGGGTGATGTTTCTCTGATTTCTTTTTCAGCCCAATTATTATCTTATATAATAGGGCTACTGATTTATTTGAATTAATCTTGTATCCTGCCACTTTGCTGGAGATGTTTATCAGCTATAGGAGTTCCCTGGTAGAACACCAACTTTAAGTTAATACAGAGCTAAGGTTCTACCCTGAAATAAAGCTTGAAGTATAGTATCCTGGGGTTGAATTTTTGTTGGGTCTCTTGCAAGGTTTTTTCTATGATATTGTTGCCTTAAACTTTAACCTTAAAATCTAGTTCCATATATTGCTCCATCTTGGTGAACTTCTCATATGCATTCAGTCACTGGCCCAGGACTTCTAACATTTATGCTGCTCTGTGCTTAGTCCTATAAATTTCAATGTATTTAAATGTATCTTTTTGGGAACATGGGAAGGGACTCTAGGTATCCCTAACACCAAATTTACAAGTTCTTCTAATAAAATTTATTGTTTCAATTTTTAATATTTATGTATATGATGTTGTGTCAGGGAGCATGTGTGTTATGGCACATATGTGTCAGTGAAAAGGTAACTTTGTGGAATCAGTTTTTATCTTCCATCTTTCCATGAGTTCCAGGGAATGAAGTCAGACTTTCAGGTTTGTGCTGCAAGCATGCTTACCCTCTGAGCCTTCTTGCTGACCCTGTGTGCTTGCATTCTCTGCAAATGGCCTGAAATGATCATAATTGTAAAATTATATTTGGTGTTTTCTTTTTTCTTTCACAGGATTATACACTCACCATGTATTTCCAGCAGTCTTGGAAAGACAAGAGGCTTTCATATTCCGGAATCCCATTAAACCTGACCCTTGACAACAGAGTAGCAGACCAACTCTGGGTACCAGACACCTACTTTCTCAATGACAAGAAATCATTTGTGCATGGGGTCACAGTGAAAAACCGAATGATAAGGCTGCATCCTGATGGAACCGTCCTCTATGGACTACGGTAAATGCTTTCCTATTGTCTTGCTTTATGTCATTTTTTTGTTTCCTAGTTTTACAAGTCAGCAGAAGGGAGAGAATCAAGGAAGAGATATATAGGCTTATACGCATAACTAACAAATGTCTGGCCAGAAAAATCTTTTGGTCTGTTTAACTCAAAGTAGACAGCTTTGTCCATAAAGAGTAAGTGAGAAGTTTTTGTCTTGACTGTCAAATAATAAACAAAGCAGTAAAAATTGCCATTGCAAAAAAATTAAACATATCCTTTTTCATCAATTGTTTATCTCAGAGCCAATCAGATAGAACTGAAATGGGTTTTGGGTGTTGCATGTCATGACTTAATTATGAAAGAAAATAAAACAGTTTTGAAGAAAATGGAAATTGTGGAGCAGTTTTGAGAAAAATCATAATATTGTCATTTCCTTCACTTTTTATATTTTAGCCTTTATATTTAGGTCAATGATTCAGTTGATCTATAAACTGTTTGTGGACATTTTGCAAGAGCTCTAGGTTGTTGTTCAGTTTTCCCAGAGAGTATAGTTTAGTTGGGTATGGTTTGTTGAAAAAACTTTTCTTCATTGGATTATACTGATAACATTGATCAAATACACAGGGGGATTTTTATGCATTCAGCTGTGTCCCACTGTTCTACTTATTTAACCCCACACAGGGTCACTCTCTTTTAATTCATGTGGCCCTAAGCCAAGTGATGAAGGCAAAGTGTGTATCACCTTTAATCTTTATTTATATTTTGAGTTTTTTGAAATTTTACATTCTTTGTGTGTTGCTATAACTTTTAGAACCAAATTGTCCAATCTACCACATAATGCCCCTAAGTCTATTATGAAGAATTGCTGAGTCAATTGGTTAGTATGGGAATAATTAACATCATAAAATTATAAAGCTTTCCAACTCATGAATATGATCCATCTTTCATTTCTTTGGGCTATCATTCATTTATATCAGCTGCTTTCTGTATCACAGTGTGTTGTGTTTATGACTCAACTAAAAAGATAATTTTGTCTTTGACTTAAGTCAGCAATGTTTTACATGTTTACAACATTTCCTTTGATTTTTCTTATTACTAAGTCATAAAATGTTATAAACATGTATAGATGTCTATTATTGCTCTTGGTGTAATTGAAGGCTTAATAATTTAAAAAACTAAGCTATATTTCAAAACTGACTTTTTTATCAAAACTGCAATTAAATTGTGACTTGTTTAAAACTTTGGAATTACCTTGGGAAGTCCTTTAAGAAGCAAAAGATTTAGAAAAAGTCAAAGAGTTTATCACCCAGTTCTTTGCTGGGGAACAAAAATGTAGCTATATGTTTGGTAACAATGAAGGTGAAAGTCCCAGTTTAGAGATTCATTTCAGGCATTTTAGAAATCATTGGCAGCATCTAACAATGGGAATTACATCTAGAAAAATAACACTGGAGAATTACACTGAAGTTGACACACATCATTTTGCAACTTGAAATGCTGTGCTCTGAGCATGATATGGCTGTTGCGCACATGTATTCACAGCAGACATGATCAAGCCAGTTAAAAATTGCTCATCTCCACTGGTTGCCATCTTGGTTCAGCCACTTTCTTTTCTTTGACCTCAGTGACGCTATACAACTCTGTTGCCTTCTATTTTGTCTTCTCTAATTTAAATTTTTATTTTAACTTCAATAAAATTGTAAGAAGTTTCGAAAAATTGCAATATACAGTGGAGAGGGAATCTCTAAACTTTACCCCTAGCTGAGAAATATGGTCATTGATGGCTGCTGAAGGGAGAAAATTCATTTTTCTCTGGAAGTATGGCCACACCTCAATAGATGATGAACCACCAATATAAACATATAAGCATATAAACCACCAATATCAAATTTTAAGGGAGGATATGAAGTTGGAATGGAGAGGTGATGGAAGGGTCTTAGAGGAAGTTGGAAGACATGTAAGGGATGACATGATGAAGATGCATTATCTAAATGTACTAAATTTTCAAGTCATAAATAAAACAGAGAGAAAATTGAGACATAAAGGCCTATAGGTTTATCTAAGGCCACCAAGAAACAATGGCAGAATTAGGACCAAAATTCAGGTGTCCTTTCTCTCAAATCTTAGTTTATCAATACTATGTCCATTCAAACATACTTAATAATGAATATTCCCTTCCAAATAAAACAGCACTGTTTTCTACTCTTTAGAAACAAGCCAGGCCTGTGTAGACCTTAACTTGTAAACAGACAATAATGACCATCCAAAGAGAAACACAAACTATATTTAAATCAGATTAATTCCAATATCTTTATAGAACATTGTTTCTCATCGGGGAGCTGATCTCTGCTCTGATGTGTCCGCTTACTTCTTTTCTGCTCTTTCAACTTATTTGATTTTTTTTTCTTTCACCAGAAGCTTTTATCACCCAAGAGACCAAAAGTTTAACAGAGACTCTGGGACGTCTGAAGCTACAGGACAGATGTTGGGCTTGACAATCACAACTTTTTTTTTCTGGGTTTTTCAAAAAAGAGTTTCTCTGTGGCTTTGGAGGCTGTCCTGGAACTAGCTCTTGTAGACCAGGCTGGTCTCGAACTCACAGAATTCCACCTGCCTCTGCCTCACAAGTGCTGGGATTAAAGGCGTTGCACTACCACCGCTGGGCTTGATAGTCACAATTTTCTGATTAAGCAATCAGACCTTGAACAAATACCCGAATTTGATGAGCCTAAGTGTTATCATCTGTAGTGAGAGCTTACTATTCCCTAACTGATTATTGAGATGACCTTAAAAGGTAATTAACATGAGAACGAGTACATAGTATACTCTGAGTCATAGTTCTCTAAATTGTGCTTCATCAGATGCTGGAAATTTGCCTTCTGATTGGCTCTCTAGTTCTTGGGGATGCTAATGATTAGAATACAGATGCAGTTGTCCAATTAAGAAAATGCTCAATGGAGTGCTCCATATGTGCCTCCATTCACAATTCTGACCCTGAGAATAGCTTTCCAGGAGTCAAGGGGGCTTCTACTGTTGCAGAGCAAGCAGCATCTGAAAAGGAGAGCCAAGAGACTTTCAGCTTACACAGTCCCTGTCCCCTAGTCAGCCATTTGCACACCTTGGGCTTCCATCACATTTCATTTATCATCCTATCTACTAAATCCCGTTCACTTTAATTCCTCAGATATAACATTTCCTAGTTGTAAAATGAAGATCTGCCTGATTCTCATAAAAGCCTTTTAAAAGAATAGCTATCATTTATCATTCTTAAGCACACAAAGCAGAAAATCCTTATCATATAACATACATTTTGGCATCTTCGGGACTGTACAGTACTTATTTTAGACATGAGTAATTGAGACAATGATACTGATGGTTTTATCCACTTTCATAAGTCCACTTAATAGTCATTGTGAATGGGCCCATATATTAACAAGTAATTTTAGCAATGATTGGATTGATGTACCCAAAGCCCCTTAAGCCTGCTTTTCCATGATCATAAAACAATATTTTTAAATTAAATAGATTTTGCTGATTTCAAATTCAATATGAGATGCTATTTTTTAAGTTATATGGAACTACAAAAATTTTTAAAGCCTCTCTAAGTCAGATTTTACACCTAAGATGTAATACCTTCTCCTGTAAGCACTAGAACACAATGACATCTAATATAGGATAATACTGCATAACCAGGCTACTATATAACAGGTCTCTAGCACATCAATACTTAAGCACTTTGCTCTTGAGTGACCTGTTCCTCTGTTGTGGAAAAAAATGCATTATTCTAAGGGAAAATACTGCCACCACAATTGTATCTTTTTAAAATGGGAGTTGGGTCAACTGTTTCTGCAGGTTTCTCTAGTACCATCTTGGCTCCTTTGCTCATCCCTCCTCACTCCACATAACTGGATTCCAGGAGTCTATGGTTCAGTGCTTAGCTGTGGGTGCCTGTTTCTGCTTCGGACAGCTACTGGATGAAGGCTTTAGGAATGGTAACCTAGGTAGACATCAATCTCATTATAGAGGAGGGGTATCAATGGTATCTTCCCTGCCACTGCCTGGATTCTTAGTTGGGGTAATCCCTGTGGATTCCCTAACATTTCCCCTGTGCCAGACCTCTCTCCAAACCTGCACTGTCTCCCTCTATAAAGGCATCTCCTTTCTTGCCCTCCTCTATTCCTCCCCTGTCTCAGTCCTCTTGTTTTCCTCACCTTCTTCCTCCATTCACCCATGCTCCTACTTTGCTCAGGGGTTCTTGTCCCCCTCCCCGTATTTGAGGGACTATGCAATTTTCTCTTGGGGTCCTCCTTGTTTCCTAGCTCCTTTGGCAGTGTGGATTATAGACTGGCAATCCTTTGCTCTATGTCTAAAAATCATATATGAGTGAGTACATACCATATTTATCTTTTTGTGACTGGGTTACTTTCCTCAGGATTCCATTGGATTCTTTGCTGAGTAGTACTCCATTGTGCAAATGTACCACATTTTCTCTATCCTCAGTTGAGGGGCATCTAGGTTGCTTCCAGGTCCTGGCTATTACAAATAATGCTGCAATGAACATAGTTGAACATATGTCCTTATTGTATTAATGTGCAGTTTGGAGGCATATGCCAAAGAGAGGAATTGCTGGATCTTGGGGTAGACTGATTCCCATTTTCCTGAGAAACCACCATACTGATTTCCAAAGTGGTTGTTCAAGTTTGCACTCCCATCAGCAATGGAGGAGTCATCCTCTTTCTCCACATCTTCTCCAGCAGACTGTCATTGGTGTTATTGATTTTAGCCATTATGACAGGAGTAAGATGGTATCACAGAGTGGTTTTGAGTTGCATTTCCCTGATGACTAAGGATGTTGAGCACTTTCTCAAGTGTCTTTCAGACATTTTAGATTCCTCTGTCGAGAATTCTCTATTTAGATCTGTACTCCACTTTTTAATTGCATTGTTTAGTGTTTTGGTGGCTACCTTCTTGAGTTCATTGTATATTTTGGTGATCAGCCCTCTGTCAGATGTGGG